GTGCCGAAAGCCACGCGCTCTATTGTTCGTATTTCAATGTATCTTGATAGTACATCGTCGAGTCTAGCCCTAAACAAGATCGTACAAGGGCGGAGAACACACCAAACGTACGGCTCAGTTTCACGCTCAACCATGGAAACAGTCCTCAGAAACGCAATAGAGCGGATATCGTGCTGCGCGACAAAAATGGCTTCGGGACAAAAGAATAAATAAACAGCGAATTTCGCGGTAATTGGAGGCCAACGAAAACAATGTTGTTACCTAAATATTCGAAGCGACCTCGAATGACTGTCGCGAGTGGCCCCAGTAGATGTAGGCGGGGAAACCCTTTCCCGAACTGGGCATTAAGTTGCTCCGTTTTACGTAAGAATTCTTGGTGACATCACAGTCGTTCTTTTGCACCGGCTACGCGACACACCACACACGTCAGCCGAGGTAAACAAAGACGAGAAGGATTTGCTGGTCACCACTGTTAAGAGCTTGGAAAAACTGAAATGTTCCAGGAACACCGTCGGGCACTGCCTGAAAGCGCACAGAGGGTCTCGCAAGTCCAGCGTCTATGCCTCGTTTCAGCTTAAGTGCAGACGCAACCGACGCTACAAGCTAATGGGTCCAATCAAGCGGCGTCAAAAGCGCAAGTCACTAGGCATTTTCTGTTCATAATTAGTTCAGCGGTGATAGAACACTCGCAGAAACATGACGAGCACCGTGATGGTGCCCTTTTGAAGCTGTCTGGTTGGTCCCATCAGCTCGTAGCGTGGGCTGATTCTGGACGTAAGGTGGAACGAAGTTCACAACGGAAACGCTTTCCCACCAAAACGACGAGGCATACGCCTACTGCGCAACAAACAAAGACACAATGCTAGAAGAAAAAAGAAGGTAAAAAATGAGACGTTTACAAATCTCTGAAACGCGAAATTAGAGCGCAGCTCTTGAGGAGGAAGAGGGAAGGCTACGGAGAGGAGGATGTGCCCCTCCTCCCCTTCTACACCTCCTACTCCGCTCCTCCCCTTTCCTCCTCCTCCTGCGTACCCTCCCCTCCTCCTCCTCTATACTCTCCCCTCCTCGAACAGTTTCCCCGCTAAATTTAGCTAAAAAATTAACGCCCCGTGACCTCAACAGCAATTGAATCCCCGCTAAATTTAGCGGGGACTTTAATAGCTGTTGAGGTCACGTGACGTCAATTTTCCCGCTAAATCTAGAGGAGAAACTGAAGTTGTTCATAGGTGACGTGACACCAAGTCATGTGACGTCATTTTTCCCGCTAAATTTAGCGGGGGATCAAATTGGTGTGGAGGTCACGCGACGTCAATTTTGCCACTAAATTTAGTGCGGTTACGCCGACGCCGACGGCGACGCCGACAGTGACGTCCACGCCGCGAAACCCGGAAACGGGCGCCCAAAAGTTGCGCTCTAAAAAAAAAAAAAAAAAAAAGAAAAACTAGGATCACTTTGGTGTGGCGGTTTAGGCAGTGCCCATCCGTTCGGATATATTGTACAATGCGTGATGACGAAAAGTGGCGCGTGAGTGCTCGCGAGAATCTAAGTATGACCTTCGCTGTCGGCATGTTGTCAATCACGCCCCCCCCCCCCCCCCGTATTTTCCATAAAAAATTACCGTGTTTCTTTGAATTGCTTTCACGGATGGGCTAAAAAAAATCATGCGTATTCTTCATCACGCACTCCTTAAATCGTCAGTCAGGTCGCGGTGAAGTGCCTTTCACGCTTAAGACTGGTGGTCAGCGCGATGCTAAGCTTGAACATATTAAATACGATACCATTTCTGAGCGAACCCTGCGCGCTTTTGTGTCCGTCCTTCAGGTTGTCAACAACGAAGCAGGTGGCACTCCAATGTTGTATACCTATACTTCTGTTATGCGTACAGGGGTAATGCTCCCAAAGAGTGTGATGTGATATATTTGCTTCTGAATGGCAAATACAGTTACCGAGGGTCTTATTATGTTTATACACTTATTATGTTCGTATGGATTTAGTAATAAATTAACATTTGAATTGCAGTAATGCTACAACAAAAGGCGTTGGTTGGTCGTGAGAAGGAGACAGATCAGAAACTGATGTGAATTGATTTTAAGTTGAACATAAGACTTCATGAACGTAGAAGAAACATATTTCTAGAATTTTCACAGCAGTTCTAAAGAATTCAATAATAACAAAGAAAAAAGTTCTCACCATACAAGACTGAGCAAAATGCTATCGCATATTAACGACAATCGGCACAGCGATTTCGGCAACAACGGGCATGCAGCCCGACCTTCTTGTGAACGGAACCCATGCTCTTTCCCGCAACGCCCAAGAAAAAGAAACCCTTGCGCTTTAGAAAAAGGAAATAACAATGCGCCGAAAACGTTCCTGTTCCAGATTGAATCTGTGCCGAGTTCCGGAGCGCTTGAACGGCGTTCGCAGCGTTGCAGCGCAGATGGCGTTTCTTATTTCCAAGGTTATCTTTGACTCGCCGTTCGCTAGACTCCTTTCGTAAATCTCAACGACTTGCGTCCATGGGCTTCGCAGAAAAGTAAAAGGGCGGGCTATGTTTTTACAACGGCAGTACTGTATTCATGAGAATACGGTCGCTTCGCACTTTGCCGAAGCGTGCTTGAACGAATTCCACAGTCAATAGACGTTTTTGTTGACTCTCGTACCCAGCCACGTGGTTCACGTATAGGGCGGCGAGAATATAATGACCCGTTTCAACCTAACAAAAAAAGAAGAAAAAATAAAACAAATTATACACCTAGGTTAAACAAAAGCAGAACCAGTGATATTTACACTTGAAACGTTAGTACCTTCCAAAGACTGTCGTTCAATATGGCGACGGCCGCGTAAAGAAATCGCAGTTATAGCATTTGGTAGCAAAAAAGGTCTCAGCGCACTCTCCGAAAGGCTTGCATGCACTGCCTTGCCACGTAATCGGGGCGCCAACCATTGGACTTCATTCAGTCAGCTCAGCGGTGACTTTAGCTCAGCGGAGGCTGAACGGCGCCGCATTCCAATGTCCAGGGCGTAATGCAGCCTCGATGATAAACAAATACCAGCTCTTTTGACAGAGCTTGGCCATTGGGCAATAGTACAGCTTGCCCTGTTCAGTGGCCAAGCCGATTGAGATTATAAAATAACTACCGATGTTCCACAGACATCAAAGGGCCGTGTTACGCAGGCCTTTCCGAGAGCGCATGCACGTGGTTAAAAAAGACTGTTTTTGCCTTGCATCGCTGCAGAGTACGTTGAAATGCTTGTCTTCAATGAAAGCTTGCTTACCTATCCATATAGCCAAACATCATTCTCTCCCCTCCAGCGCTTCCTCGGCACGTCGAGCACGTTTAAAGTCGGCACGTCGGTTCATCTGTTCGCTTATCTCCTCTTCAGTCTGCTCCTTCCTCTCGGGAAGCACTGCGGTGGCAGATGCAGTGAACGGCCTCGTCCCGCAACCCGCGCGATGAGTAGTGGATAGCTGCTTATCTACCGCACTCTCCTGAATCCCGCGCATGCACGTGGTAAGGAGAGGAGGAGGCACATATGCGCCTCGTTATGTCGGTATTATTTAGGGGTGGACGAATAGGGGTTCCAATCCGATAGGGCGGTGCAATTTATAGTCTTCAGAGTGCTACAGGAACCCACGACATGCCAACTGGGTTGCTTTGCAGTGTTGGAACTAGGGATGTCGTTGCGTCATTGCCACTATCTGTACACCCATATTATTACTTCCATTGCTCGAGTGTCTCTTAAAGGCCGACATACAGAATCGTCTTTTGCCGGGCAGTAGACCTGATACCATGCAACTTCCTTGTCTCCATTGTCTTTCGAACCCTTCTCTCCTCCTCTCTCCACAATAGCGGGTCTCTGAGCTACTCCTCGCAGCAAAGAGGACGCCCTCTCTCTTTTTTGAACAGAGAGGGGGAATCGAGGGAGACTTTTCTCCTTTCTGGCTGTTAGTCGGCCTTTAAATCCCGAACATATGGGGCGTCTTTTCACGCGCCTCGCCCGCGTCAGCGTCGGCGCGCGTCGCTCGAGGCCACTCGCAATAATGCGACGCGCGGGCCGACGCCGAGGTCCGGCCGTGACACATATCGACACGGAGCAATGCGCACCGACGAGAGGAGACGCTGACGCGGGTGAAGCGCGTGCAAACGTCCCATGTGGTTAGGCCTTTATCTCAATGGCGTCTCACTGCCCAGTCAGGGTGCATGGCACTTGTCTGCAGAAGCGGCTGCGCCGACGAGCGTTGCCGCTTCTTTTCGTCTGGCTGTCACGGAATAACACTGCCCGAAACCCGGGTTTCCCATCGTCCGTTAATTCTCCGGAACGTAACAACCTCACTCTCCCCCGTATGCCTTTCGATGTGACGACTGGAATTCGGATAAAGGGAGGGGAGGGGGGGGGGGGGGGGGTGTTAAATAAATGCTACCGAGTCCTAGCGATCGACCATGTTGCCGTCGTCTAGTTCAGTGCAAGAGAATGCTCTCCCGGGAGGCATCTGCGATTCACGCGTTTTGTTCTCCAGTGCGTCGTGGGACGGGCTCGGTCACCGTAAGCAGCAAGCGATCGACCGGTGGGCAGAGGGTACACGTTTATTATGAAATTACACGAGCACCTCCCTCTTGCGGTTGGCCGTTGTAGTTGGAGCATCGGTGCCGCCGGCAGATGCTTTGGCAGTCCGGTCACCGTGCACGGCCGCCGCGCGCCTCCCCAGCCGCCCGCGTGCGCGGGGGAGGCACGCAGCGCGGCACACTCTGGGAGCCGGATGATGAGCTGCGTCGCTGGGGCGCCTAACACTACTATGTACAGGGTCCTCTGTCCACACTTCACCGACGGGTTTGGAACTATTCACAGGGGCCACGGCGACCGTAAAAAAAGGCTGCAATGTCACAGGCTGTACAAGGGCCCTCCGGGCCACACGCCGACCACGCGGCCGGCCCTTGCGCGGGCACGCGCAGAGTCCTCGCGGCAGAAGGCGCTGGGCCGCCGGCGCCTCATCCGCGGCGTCACTTGCCGCCGGACGTGACGATGGAGCCCCCGTACGACTGGCCGTTGCACGTGGGCAGGGCGAACGGGTTCATGGCCGCGAAGTGGGACGGCACGATGCCGCCCATGCCTGCGGGGAGAGAAGCCAGGGGTCAAGGCCCGCAGCCAGGGGGGCACCGGCCGCCCACGCAATCGACCAACACTCGGCGAGCAACCGACAGAGCGATGCCTTTTGCCGATGGGGCCATCGGTTTCGAAGGAATTTTCACACACAGTTGCGGTACCTGTCTAAAGAGAAGAATGTCGACCCGAAATGGTTATCGGTTCGAGTCGGGTCGGGTCAGGTCGGTTCGTTTCGCTTCGGTTTGGTTCGGTTCGGGTTCGGGTTCACAGCTTTCAGTTCAGTTCCGGTTAAGCTGCGGAGACAAAAATAACGGTCGGAAGCGGTTCAGAGTGGTTCGAACCGTTTCGAACCGGTTTGAGCCGCTGAACTTTGGATATATTTTCCGAATTGTTTTGACAATACGCGCCGCTTTCGCCGTGACGAGTAGTTTTCTATCGTTGTACAATCCAGTTTCATTTTCAAGTAACAAAAACAAGAAATCGAGTTAGTTTATTTAGACGCAGCAGTGTAAAACAACTAGGTTAAGATTAAAAAAAAAAGTCACGTTTGTGCGACCATACTTCAAGTTGTTTACCTCAGTCACATGGTTTAACTGAATACAAAGATTGTCACAAAATAAGACTACTCAGCTAAAATACCAGTTATTGCAACAATCTACTGTCGCAGTCTTAAAATATAAATTTTACTTGTGCTCTTAATAGAAAGGATTTATGCGGTGCATAAAATCGCGGAATGCGATCGTTGCCATATGCATCGTGAAGCATATTTCACGACATATGTTCTACAATATATAACGGCGCAAGTTAAAGCCATTATTACTTCTTGAATGTCAAGAAAGTCTTGGGACAAGTCAAGTTGGGACGTCGCGTGACGTCAGGTCACATGACGTCATTGTGTCCCGTGACACTAAGCTGCGTGACGTCATGCCACTTGACACTATGAATTAACACCGTGACGTCACGTGACCGCGTCGCATGTTATCACATAACACGTGACGTCACGTGAGTATTCAGAGTGCCAATAATAATACCCCGTAAAATTCCACTATTTCTCGTACACTGCACTTCTGCATGTTAAGATTTGATCGATAGCTCGAAACACAGCTGCTAATTATTGGTATTCTCAAATATTGATATTAATAAAAAGGAGAGAAGAAAAGAAAAAGATTGGTCTGAACCGTTTTGAACAGGTTATCGACAATATCTTTTTCCGGTGCAGTTCCGCTTCAGGTTTAAGATGGCTGCTACGATTTAGGTTCGGTTCAGTTTCGGTTCCGGTTTTCGGTTCTGTTCGCTTCTGATTTGATACTTTGGCCTGTCCTTTAAAATTAGCACTCGGGAATTTTACACCTTTCACCCTTATTTCGTCCCCTGGCCGCCCTACACCATAACAACAGTTTGTCCACACATTGGAGAAAGAAAAGGTGGCTTCTCCAACAGCAGCCTATTTCACAATTAGAAAGAGTGTACTATCGTATTAAGAGACTACACCACGAACTCTTTAAAGAAAAACTAAAGAGCTCCTCAAAAAAAGAGAAACAAGCTAGAGGTGAATTTTGGCGTATTTTTATCTCGTGAATCTGAATATCACGTTCGTTTTCTCCGAAGATGTAACAAAATGCTAGAGAACACGAAAAACTTCCAACCAGTCGTGACGACGCCCTAGAACCTTTAAGCCGTCAAGCGCGTGTCGCTGTTGTGGTCAGCGCAAGCTTGTCAGGTATACACCGTTCCAATGTTTACCACATTCCGAGGCCAGCGTGGGCGAATCACAGCCGAGCCCGCGCATGGTCATTGCTTCGGAAAGCGAGCGAAACACGCGGCGTACGCACGAGCTCTGTAAATGGCACCAACTAGAAGCCCGTTTCTGGAATGGTCTATAGACCTTTCCAGAAAACTGCTCCTGTCCAGTTCCATTTTAAATGTTCGTGCGTATGGCGCGTGATTTGCTCGCTTACCAAAGGGGCGAACATGCGTGTGCTGGGCTGAGGAAGATCGCACGCTGGGCTATGGACTTGTAAATATAGGAATGGTGTATATTCCCCCGCACTGACACCAGTTGTGACGTCTTTTTCTGACGTTTTTTGAAAAAAAAAGGAAGAGTTCGCGTGCGTATATTTTTGATAGGTTCTGAAGATGCGGAAGAGCATAGATTCCGAAAACTCCTGATATGGCGTCACGCTCTGGGAAGGAAGGGGCCATCAGAGGTACTTCGAAAATAACTTTGTGCAGCATCCATGCCCCAAATTTAATTTTAAAAAAAATAATCTCGATATTTGTGATCCTGAAGGCCAAATGATGACGATCTACGTGTTTTTCCTGAAGTACAAAATCGCTCCAGTTTCCCTTTAATCATAAAATAGGGCACTGTTGCAGGGACCACTCTCCCGTTTGTGAAGGGTGTAAGACGGGGGTGGAGAAGGATGCTGCTGTGGTGCACTGCGGCGAAGGGGCCTTACCCCGGCTTCAAACAGAGCTTATCGGAGCTTGTTTGGCGACTAATTCGAATAATTATTGCTTTGCCAATGCTTCTGACTCGGAGATACATCCCTTGATCTTCGAGATATTATGCGCCCTGTGAAATATTGACCAGAACAAACCACGATACTTGTAACATGCATAATGGCGGAGATAGTCCCCTGCGAATTAGTATGGTTCAATTGTCGAGTACATAAGGTGGTGGAGCAGTCAGCGATAATTAGATATTGGGCGTGCTTATCTCATCTGTATTTATGGTTTCTGCGCATGCCTCAATGTATATGGAGCGTGTTACATTAAAACTCATTGAGCGAAAAGAACAACCCCAAAATGATGCTAAGATCGCCTTAACGCTATTTTAGCGCGTTCGTCACCATCCGAAGAGGGTGTTGGTCCGGGACAAGCTAATGTATGACCTTAAGAGTGTAAAAAGGTTTGGTGTGTAGTGTGCACAACCAGGAACATAGTTGCCACTCATAATTGTTGATGGGATTATGTTTCACGCACGGCCTACGTTATACGTCGCGGTGTCCAGTGCGAATCTCCTTGCGCTCTTGAAAGCATTGCAACCTGGAAGGTTGTCAAACTAGGCTCGAGTCTAATGGCATCTTGTTATGATAACTTCTACCGAGAGAAAAAAAAAGGACCCAAGTTATATAACTTACATTTTTCAACTGGGACTTAATAAACGAAGAGTGATATCACTAAGGCGATCGTGAATTGAGCTTGATATCAACTGTATGCAGCATTCCCATACTTGATTTCTTCGCCATCCAAGACAGAAGCGAAAAAGCGTAGCAGCGGCCAATGATCGGTTTGTACGCTAGAGCATAAATGGCCTCACAGTCGGTCCCGTATTTCACTCCGCACAACACAGAACCTTTCCGAACCAGCACACTAGGCGACAACGGCCAGACCAGTGCCACCCGAACGCGCGCCGAAGGCACCGCGAGAGGGGGCCGCTCTCTGATGCCTGCACCTGCGGCCGGAGCGCGAGGGTACACGTGTTCATGCAATCGCGGACCGTGCACCTCCGCGCGCCAGCTGTCGAGGCATTCCATCCGGGACTCTCAACAAAACGCGTCATGGGCAAACTGCCCGAGACCATTGCCAGCTACGCGAGAGCGGTCCCCACACGGCCCCCGCGGGACGCGTCGGGCGACCTCGGAGCTTCCTGCATATGCTTACAACGGGATGCGCGATCTCGGACTAGACTCTAGAACAAAAAAAGCCTTGCAGTTGTCCTGCCTACAAGAAGAAATTGCTGCTTCTTATCTTTTGTCTTAACCTGGATCGCTCCGTCTTGTTTTGTCTTAACCGCCTGGACAACACTGAATGCTCTGGAAGTCAGCTGATAGCTGTAGGAAGTGCTCCCGCACCAGTGCAGTTCGAAGAGCCAACAAGTGTTCAAAAGCTACATGATCGCGCTTGTAGCATTCACTGTGGTTTTGGGTTGGGGTATAACGAAGCTTAGCGTGTTAACAAAACTCTTTGTGGAAAGATGCTTTATGCCGCAGTCTCACTTAAGGGACAAACAGCCACAACCGACATCGACCAACATCAAGCACATACAGCATGCACTGGACGCAACGTTATTAGACTACCTCAGTTGTGGAACTCCCGCGGAGGGGGTACCTCTCCGCGGGAGTTCCACAACTGAGGTCACTCCAAAATTATAGCGAGTCGAACGACGGGAGGCGAGCCGTGCGGGGAGAGGGGGGAAGGGGGGGGGGGGGGGTTACTGCTCTTGCAAGCAGCGTCAATGGGTAGTTCTGTAACTGAGTTAATCTACACATAGCCTGCAAGCGTCACCATTGCTGGGTACTGACGGCAATTTCTACTTCCTGGTTTCTTGGAACAACAACTTTCGCGGCGTGAAACTAACAGGGCGAACCGAACGCTCGCGGCGCATAAAATACTGGTATGGCCGCGAGTGACGTCTCATGCAAGCCATGTATGCTCCGTTCACCCTTAAGCTGACTAGAAGCTCCGCCTTCAGCGCGAGCTCGGTGGTTTCCGCAGTGCTTTGGTTGCGCGTGCCTGCGCGTTCACAGTTGTGTTAGCAAGGGCAGAAAGCTCGCGCTGAAGGTGGAGCTTCTAGTCTCAGCTTAAGGGCGTACGGAGTATAGTAACGTTGCCTGGATGTATTTTTGGTAGGCTTACAATCTCTCGGTCTTCGTGAAGTTAGTACGAGTGATTTCAAGCCTGCCAAACCTGCCATGCATGCAGCACAAGCTTGATGTTGGTCGGCGGGGGTTGTGGCTGTTTGTCGCTCAAATTGGACAAAGGAGTCACTGAACGACATCCCCGCCATTCTCAAGCTATGAACGACTATTGTGCGCCTAACCTAGGCTACTAGAAAGGTGGATGTGACTGAGCGCGGCGCACCGTGCCATTAGTGCCACGAGAGGGTGCCAGAAAAAAACGTCGTACTCGAAATTCACGCGTAGCGGGGAAACGACATAGGGAGCCTGGCAGATTTGGTCGGCGTCATGCTTTGAATGGCGTTTGGTTGATATCCCTGGCAGGACACAGCGCCACATTCCACAGCGCTCATTTTTCTATTCGCTGCGATAGTGCACCTGGAAAGGAACAACTTGGGGACTTCATGCAGGGTTGGAGCCGAATTTAACAAAACCTCGGCTGCTAATTTGAGGCAGCCCCAAGTTTGTTTAGACGTTCTCCCGTGCAGGCTAGGACTAACTCCGCGTTTCGTGATAGTGCACCCTCTCGCGATCCAATGAGACGGCTGCAAGCTCCAGTCCCTGCGGCCGAGCAGGCTCCGGCCGGACCCGAAGCGACCGAGTGAGAGCTACGCGAACGCGAGCTGGCAGCAAGCGACACGAACCATTGAAGAGTCCCGGGGAAGAAGGCACGGCCCCGGCGACACTGGCGTACGTGGCGTTCGCGGCGGCGCCGCCGGCGTACGGCCCCACAGTGGCGCCGTTGCTGCTGTGCGGCGTGGAGGCGTTCGAGCCGTAGCCCCGCGGGGACACGCTGCTGCTCTGTGAGCGGCCATACTCTGCAAGCAGCAGGGAGCCCCGTCAGCCCGGCACGCGGGCAACGCGACCGCCGCTCCACTCACCGGCGCCGTTCTCCTGCACGTTGACGGCCAGCTGACCCGCGGCAGCGTACGCGTTGAAGCCGGCCGAGCCGCTATTGAGCACCGGAGACCGCGGACCCTGCAACGCCAGCTGGTTCTGCCGAGGCATACTGTACAAGGCCTCGGCGAGGTCCGCCGCCCGCTTCAGGATGATCTCCTGCGTGGGTTGGGAATCTCTCGTCAACGTCCAATGGGCAGGGAAGGCGCCCGAACGTACCTTGGGTAATTTCTCCGGGTCGCCCGGGTGCCGGGGAATCAGCTTGGCCAATCTCTGGAACCCGTAGTCGATCGTCGGCTCGTTCAGGGCTGCGTGCAATGGGCTGGGGTCAGGAGATTTCGAGCCCCGGACTCGAGCCGCGAGCCGCGCAGTACGGTTGGACGATTAAAAAAGAACCCAGACATGTTATGCGGGAACGAATCTTTCACTTTCATCGCAGCAGTGGCAGTAAGAAGACCTAACAGCCTGTGTCATTTCTAGCAACAAATAAACCGACCTCGGTAAGCGTTCCACACACGTGTGACGCCGCCATAACTTTAGATCAGGAGAAACACTGTTTTATTTCTTCTCGACAGGCGCCAGTTCACGAGACAGTTCGTGCCGTGTTATGACCTGCAGTGGGGTCGTGCGTGCAGAAAGACTAAAGTTTCCAGGATGCATGTTGGTAGCGGCGGTGTAAAGAAACTGGCTGGTAAGATCGGTCTATAGCAAGTATAACATTGAAAGCCTGAATGACATGAAAAGTCAAATTACAAATCCCGCAAAGAACTAACCCGCCAGAACGTGAGCAGAGAGGGACACCAATAGCACAAACAAGCGAGCGCCGTCTTTTTCCTCTTTTTTATATTACAACCTAAAGGGTCCATGCAAATATTTTCCTACTTTGCGCAAATACCGCTTAAAACGACTCCCTGACGTTAATGACTTGTGAAACACGCGTTGGTTTTTCACCACACGCAATAGAAGTCGCTGAAAAAATTATAGAAAAATGAGCAGCGTTCACTCTCTGAACAGACCAATGTCTCCAGCCAGTTTGACTACGCCACCGCTGCCGCAATGCATCGAAGGTAGTCTTTCTGCACGTCCAATAACCTTACTGGAGCTCTGCGCTTGTGGAGCACAAGACGGCACGAGCCCTCGCACGCACGGCTGTCTGCCTCTCGTGAACTAAAGTTATGACGGCGTCACGCATGCGCCGAACACTTAGTGAGATTGGTCTACTCGCCGCCAGAACAAGCGGCAACGTGACCTGGACTAAATCATATTCACTGGCGGCCATAGCTGTGTGCGCGACTGCTGAGCGCGTGCTGACGGCGAGTTTCCACAGTTCTTTTGCAACGTGTATTTCGCACCATGAAGATTGCCGGTCTTAGAAGTTTTTAATGTGAGTTCGTTCTAAGCATACGCTCTAAACAACGCCCTCAAATATGGCGTCCAGTAAATAGACCTTTCTAAAAAAGGGCTCCTGACCGCTTCCATTTTCAGTGTTCGTACGTATAGTGCGTGATTTGCTCGCTTTCCGAAGCGACGGAAATGCGCGTGCTGGGCTGAGGAGATCGCACGCTGGGCTGACGATTGGAATGGTGTAGACTACCTATAATGCCACCAATGTTGATCATAGCCACGCGCTGGGGTTGGCAAAGCACAGGACACGCGCTGCGTTCCAGACATTGTTATGCCCGAGTCGCACTAGAGCGACAAACAGAAACAAATAACAGCGGCAAGCTTCAAACCAGATTCATTTGCGATTTGATAGGCTTTGTAGAATATAGGCTTTGCCCAAACACGAACATGATGCACGCGAGGGTATCTTTGACAGGCTTGCAATCACTCGTACTTACTTCACGAACACCGAACGACTAAACGCCTCCCAAAGGTACCATAGTGAGCATGCTGCATGTGTTGGAGGCTTGTCCGCGCCGGTTGCTTTTGTTTGTCGCTCTAGTGGGACTCGGGCATTTTGGTTCGGCTATCGTCGTCATTGCAACGATTCGACACGGGCCACTGCCCGAATGCTTGTCGAGCTATTGATTATCACGAACACAGATCGAATGCTCACGCAATGCTCGGGTCCAATCTATGAGCCACATTCAAATATCGTCATTGGGGTGTACTGCGATCCCCACGTTACGTCATCAAAATTTGCGAAGGAGAGATTGAAAGAAAGCGCTATACTCTGCTTCACCTTGTGTTGTACCGCAGGAAAGGCTACAAGCGCGAGCTCCTTGCTCTATGGCACACCTCGGCGGCACAAGCTCTCGTGCACTAAGAGCAGCTGCCAACGCTATGAGCTTGCGCTTCTAGCCTTCGATGCGGCACAACATAAGGTGAAATGGGGTATAGAGTTTGTCATTAAAGCTACACCGCGACAGAAAAAGACACGAAAAGCTTCGACCAGTGGTGACATCATAAGAGGACCTTTCGGCCGCCAAGCGCGTGTCGCTCGAGGGTCGCGCGTGCAATCGCAAGCTTGCCAGGTATACCCCGCACTGGCACCAGTCATGACGTTCTTCTCTTCCCTTTTTAAGAATATAGCAAGAGCGCGCGTGCATAGCTTTGATAGGCGCTGAAGATGCGCGAGAGCGGAGATTCCCAAAACTCCTTTTGTGACGTCACGCTCCGAGGAGGAGGGCCTTGAGCGGTACTTCGAAAATAATTTTTTGCCGCTTCGAGGTCGTGAAGGTAAAATGAAGACGATTTTAGTGTGTTTCCTCAAATATAAAACTGCTTCGGCTAGATATTATTCCATGGTACTCTCGTCCAACGCAGAGTTATCTTCCTTTCCGTTATTTTTGAGTTTTGTATGCCGTTGTTGTACAGATGAGAGGCCTCGTCAAGGTTGAGATCTTCACGTCTTGTCTGTATATAGTGTGTACAATAACACTGCTTTGATATGAAATAAAGTGAAGGATAATAACGATCTAAAGCGACAGCTCCACCAGTTGTGCGTTGCCACCAGAAACCTGATCGATTGGATCATCACTTATTGTTTAAAATATCATTTTGTCTGACACTTTCAGGAGGTTGGTGCAGCCGGTTGCCAAAGTGCGAATAAATCACTCGAAGAAACCCGAAGAAATTGCAAAGAATAGCCTCTTTGTCTGTCTGTGGTGAAGTCTCGGCGAGTGTTTCGCGGAGAACATGGCGGCCCAATCGGTCACTGTTGGAGAGGGTGGGGTGAAGTAGCCTGCCACGACAGCACTCCATCCAGGTTTCCTTCCACGTGGTCAAGTGGATTCAACCTTTTTAGATTCTAAGTGCAAGGTTGCGGCTCGGTCATCAATCGCGTCAGCCCCCTTGAAGAAGCCCTTGAAGAAGCCCGTGGAACCTCATTTTGCCATTACCGGAGCGGCAAATCGATCATCGTTGGGAGCCTTCACTGTCGCACTGGTCACTTCCGACAATCCCCCATTCATCTTGGGAAGCGGTCGACTCCGCGTAACGTCGCGGCGGCTGTGGTCTCGCTATGAACTGCGCCGCGTCTTCCTCTAACATCCTTAACTTTCGCACTGAAAAGGCCACGGGTGGGAATTTTCTGTCTCGTTTTACCGAGCTTCTTTTCTTTCTTTGCCGCACCGTTCGAGTAACAGATATTTGGGCTGCCAATGATCAAATTGAACACCCATATATTTTGCTGTCGCTTTCGCCTAGGACAGTGTTCTGAATAATAAGCTGAATTCCCCCCAGCGGATCGCAACACAACCAGCTAAGCCTTCTCTGTTAATTAATGGAGATGGAATTTGCCATAAGACGGCGAAAATTCGCGCCTTGTATAGCACCTGCTATTATTTTTTCTCAAGAAAGATGTTAAATCTATGAAAAAGTCGTGAAAAAAAGAAAGAAAGAAAAGAGTTTCCTAGTTTTACTTTAACCGCTAAGCATGCTATTTCTCGACGTAATTAAGAAAATGGTGCGTCATTTATTACTATACACATCTAAAAATGTATTGCTGACCATGTGACATTTGTGGCCACTTTAAGCACCAGTTACGCCATATCATGGCCTCCGAGATTCTCAGCGTGCAGAGCTCTCCTCCTGCCCCTCGAAACGCCCATTTGCCCAAAAGGACGAGCGTTATTGCACAGCTTCTCTAAAGCTTCGCCAGGCGGTGTTCCTTCAGAGGCAGCATCTAATAGACCGATCTCGCCAGCCAGTTTAACTACGTCACCGCTGCCGCAATGCATCGAGGGAACTTTAGTCTTTTTGCACGTGCGACAACCGCACTCTCTGCACGTGTAGAGCACGAGACAGCACGAGCTCTCATGCGCAGCCGTTTGCCTCCCGTGGCTCAAGTGAACTAAAGCTATGGCGGCGTCACGCATAAGTCGAACGCTCAGTAAGATCTATCTATTCCACGGTGGTCTATTCTAAAAGGTTGAGTGTGTGCATACGGCATGGAGCTCGTATTTTGGTTAACACTGCGAAAGCTGGGACGCGCAAGCGCGTTGAGACGCGATTCAAGTGCCGCTCCGCTAGTGCGCTGACTCTGGCAGTGCTTTCTTTTGCTCAGAGCAAGCCGGCCATGATCAGCAGTAAGCAGTAGGAGAGCTTATCGCAGAAAATTCCACTGCGGCAAAAGGACCAAAGCCGTCAAAGCCCGGCCAATAGAAAAGCCCTGCCTATAGCAAAACCATGTCGAGACGGCGTCTCAGGAGCACTTGAGAGACACGCGACAAACGACAGAACGAAGACGATGAGTGCACTTGAACAAACAAAGGTATCACGAAAGAAATGATGTAATTTTAATGTCCTACGCGAACGACGAGAACAAGGAATCCCCCTTACCTCCTACCCAGTGACGCGATTTGCGAGGGAATAATTAATGAGCATGACGTTTCTCCTGTTTAGTCTCACAAAGCAAATGGCATTTTGTGGTCAGAAACTTCACTGAGAACCGCTATTGACTCGCCTCTAATATTTAATCATAATAGAGAGTTTTAGTAGAACGCTCCGATGACTCCGATAACAATACCCGATACTCCCCCGCCGCCCTTTGCTCATGCATCGAATCGGGGGTAGCGAGGGTATCCGAACGATCTACTAAAACTCCATAATGATTGGACGCGTCGTTCGTCGAAACACAACCAGGTGTGCGGTCATTATACACCTTTCCCAATTTTAAAAATATAACGCTCGGATTTCACCTTATCGCTTTCTTAAAAGAGTAATGTGTGTTGTGGTGAGAAGCAACGTGTATAATTCGGACAAACGAAAGGGTTTTTACTATCCGGATTGCTATCTAAGCTTACCCGACGATTATGATGATGGTAATGATTTCCGGCTGTGGCTTAAAACGCAGCGGTACCTC